ACATCTGGTGAAAATTTCATGTCATTAGCACCTCTAGTAATATATTTACTGAGAAAAATGGTGACGTGTTCAATACTTATTTTACCCGCTGTATATTTGTTGTTTTTTATTTTCCTTAGTAAAACCTCAAAAAACAGGTTTCRTTTTTGGTTTTTAGTCATTTAAAACTTATATGCAGTAAGTTTTAACTAACTGCCAGCTTATAGTGGGTGTTTAAGTATTGTCAACAGTCTTACACATAATTACAATATGTTACATTTTCAAACTTCCWGTCAACTTTAACATCTTTTTAACAAAAACATGGTGGGCTGCCAAAGCGGCCCTACCACCAGGCTTAGCTGGTTTTCTGAGGGAAACCCTGCTTGATGCATGAGAAAACACCCCAGGGTCGGTGATTTGCATGCAAATTAAGAGATAAGATGGATATTATCTTTATCTACTTATCCTTTCTGAGTCACAACAGGGAGCTGGTGCCTATCTCCTGCAGACAACACGTTCACTCACCTACRAATGTTTTATGTTACCCATGAATACATTTTTTAGGAGAACACCCACACAGGCGCTTGGGAGAAAGGCCCAAGGCTGGATGGCGATTCTGTGACATTATCACTGAAACAACAGCTCTAACAACTGCACCACTGATCATAAGTGAGGTAAAATATGTAGGGATGTTGACATTTCGTCAGCAGCTGCTGCCATTTTCTTCCCAAACTGCTGTGACCAGATTTTGCGAGGCTGCTCGGTGCGTTTGTTTGTAATTTCCTCCTGCTTCGTTATTTCTACAAATTCCAACAAATCGGGCTGCCGTCAGGTAGTTAGCTACAGCCTCGTCTTCGAATTTTTAAGTTTTGTTGATGCGTTTTGAAGAGACAATTTTTTGAAAAGAGGATCAAAGTAAATCACCCGAGTTTTTCTAGTGATCCCTTAAATAGATAAGCTGCCATGAAGAACATTATTTTATCTGCCCTTCTTCCAAATTTGATGATGATTTGAAACGTCGAAGTATTTTTTTTTTTTAAATCCGGAACAGCGCTTGTTGCAAAGTGTTTTGATGCTCGTCTTCATCACATGACACATTTAACACGCTGTCATTGGATGAGGAGCTTTGTTTACAAAACACGTCCACATGGTTTTTAAATTGTTTTAATTTCATTACTTTCTAAGACACATTAAGTTGAGTTGATGCTACAGTTTGCCTTGTAATGTTATTTTATACCTTTTCTGCTACTTTTGAATTGGCTATTATTAAGTTTTATTAGTTTTTTAGGATACAAGATGCTTCCTACAAAACCAGAATGGGAATCTTTTCCCTAAAATTTCATGGCGATATCTTGAACACTAAGGAAGTTATGAGCAAAATTAGAAAACAGTAAGGTGAAATGGTCACAAAGGCCCCATTGGTGAACTGCAGCAAAAAACATGAGCTGATTTCACCTAAACAAACATCAATAACTTCCCTCATACTTCAGATAATCACATGATGTTGGTGTTATTTTGTATGGTTTGTAATGATCTTTTGGAATCTGCTGTCAGATTTAATATTGTGTAGGATTAAAAATTTATCCACAGCCCTAAAATATGCCAGGTTAAAATCTTGATATATTCTGATGTCAATAAACACAGTTAATTAGGTAGAAGAAACTTAAATTTAGATCAGCAACTCAGTGCAGTCAGTAAAAACAATCTAAAACCTTTGACTGAAACAGCAGAAGACCTTTACAGATGATTTCAGTCTGTGACATTCTTTTATTACTTATTAAACTTTATCCAACCAGGCCAATCTCACAGGGATCACATATAGGCCTGTCACGATAGTCAATAAATCAATTAATTGCACGATAAGTTATTTTGAGGTCGGTAAAAAAATGAGGACGATAAGTTTCATTTTCCTGCTTGTTT